CCACCACCCTATAGCAGAAATACTGCTACAGTGCAGCAGGGGTGTGCAAAATCACATATACGTGATTTTGCAGTTCCGGGTAGGGGGTGCGCAGGAGCCGTGCACACGCCCTAACTGCGCCGCCATTCACGGCCTCGGCTGTCCATCACCGGTTCTGGACGGTGATTACTCGCTGGCACCCGGTGATCACCGAGTATCTCCGACGAGGGAGAGACCTGTATGTAAACAATACAGATCTCTCCCCTGTCAGATCCTGCCCACTGCTTTGTATGACTGCATAGCAGAGCCATACAAAGCAGTGCATTTACAGTGAAACACACACAGGTCACACAGTTAACCCTTTGATGTTAACCCCTTCATGCCATTAGTACAGTGTCTGTGCTTTTTATTAGCACTGATCACTGTATTGGTGTCGATGGGGATATCAGTGACACCAAATCAGTTCCTCCCAGTGTCAGAATGCCCACCGCAGTCCCGCTATAACTTGATGATTGTTGCCATTACTAGTATATATATATATATATATATATACCGCCATTTGTAAACACTATAACTTTCACGTAAACCAATTAATTTACACATATTGGAATTTTTTATAGCAAAGACATGTCGCAGAATACAATTTGGCCTAAGTTTATGATGAAATTTGATCTTTTTACATTTTTTTTACTGGACATGTTTAACCCCTTCGTGCCGGCGCCTCCCGGCCCTTTAAGGGTTTCAGAAGCTGGGAGGCAGGGCGGGGTTTCAGGGTCATGTGACCGCCGTGATTTGCCATCACGGCGGTCACATGATCTGCAAAGGTCCCGATCGAAAGAGGAGATCGGGACCTTTCCGTGAGTACCGGACATGTGTGTTGGGAGCGTGCAGCGTGCGCGCTCTCAGCACATATGTTTTTCTTAATTGTACACATTTGTGTGCGGCCGGCATAAAGAGGTTAATAGCAAAAAGTCAAAAATATTGTTTTTTTTTCTCACACTTGTAGGTCTTTGTAGGTGTTTATAGAGCAAAAAAAAAACCTGCACAGGCAATCAAATACCACCAAAAGAAAGCTATATTTGTGCGGGAAAAAAGGACGTAAATTTTATTTGGGTACAGTGTTGTATGACACTTGTCAGTTAAAGTAATGCAACGCGGTATCACAAAAACTGGCGTGGTCAGGAAGAAGGGTAAATCATCTGGAGGGCAATTGGGTAATTAGACACAATAGTTACATTATAGCAGCATAACTTAACTTGCCTAGCATTGATTTCTTTTGACTTCAGCTACAAACTTTCACTATTAAGATTTTTCTATGGAAATTTCAATTAAAGAAAAAATCAGAATAAGTGGTAGGTAACATTTCAAGTACAATTAGATTGTATACTTAAAGTGACCCTGTTTCTGCAGGAAAGCAAGAAGTTGAACACTGCAGATGTCAAATCACATCCAACTTTATTAAAGCCAGACAAAGCGCACCAAAGCCTCGCACAGGACTGTCTCTCTCTAATGTTTCACCCAATACAGGTACAGAAAGCAGGGAGGAAAGCCTGTTTTATGCAGTATAGTGTCAGTGCATCTTAAAGCGATTTTAAAAACAATTAAAAAAAAAAGTTATACTTACCTGCTCTGTGTAGAGGTTTTGTACAGAGCAGCACCTATCCTCCTTTTCTCGTGTTCCCCACCTGCGCTCTTGGCCCCTCCCTCCTGCTGGGTGCTTCCAGAGCAAGCAGCTTGCTATGGAGGAACCCAAGCAGGCTTGCACCTGCTCTGCATTTCCATTCACACACAGAGCCGTGGCTTCTCTCCCCCTCCTCATTGGCTCACTGGCTGTCTCAGCCAATGAGGAGCGAGTGTCCCTGGAGAGCCAAGGCTCCTGTGCACATTGCTGGATGGGGCTCAGGTAAGTATTAGGGGTGCTGGGGGAGCTGCGGCATACAGAAGGGTATTTACCTTCATACATAGAATGCATGAAGATAAAAATATTGAGCCTTTACAACCACTTTAAGTCTCAAAGGGTTACATACCATATAAACATCAAGTCACCAAAAATTGCAACAGAATGCTCAAACTGATATAAAGATGTAAATACATATTCCAACAAAAATGTAATAATATCAATCATAACCATCCTGCTATGATTAACTATAGAGACTAGCTGCCTGTGCAGTCTTTTATATAATTGTAATAATTTATTGTATTCATAGTCTTGCCTTTTTGAGTTTAGGCAGAAAAAATAGTAAAATAGTAACAGTTAAATGTTTTCTAGAAGGAATTATGAGCTATCTGAAAGTCAAAAAGCCTATGATGTTGCTCAGCATTATCCAGTTACATAATAACCCCAAAATTTATTTGTACTTTTAAATTTCATGGAACAGTCATGAATTTCTATGCCTTGGAATAACAACATGGTTGCCATATGTGTAGGTGTGTTTCTGTCCTTGTTCTAAACATTAAGCAGCTGTACATTCAAAAACAAATGTAACTATTGTATATTTGCAGTATGCTTGTTATGCACATAAACTAAAAAGCAAAACCTAATTTACCTGATAATATTCAAGTTAGTGATGGCATATTAGGCAGACAGTTAGGGTCAAAGTCAAGGATCAGATTAGTCATTAGCTTGACCCAGATGACACCTAGATGAGCAGCCAAGTTTGCTCACTGTAGTGGCAATTTCCTTCATTAAGGCTGAATACAAAAGAGACAAACAAAAACTGAATGCCAAGTATGTTTCTATCTGATGATTAGTAGCTTCAGTATCTTAGTAAAGCTAGAAATTGCTAAACATTTACCACAGCATGATGCCACATTCAGCACCAGTTTCATTTTGTTTGTTTTTGGGATTTTTAGCTCAAACACCGCTTTCTTGTATTAAAAGAGGTAAGGACTGCAGAGAAAGAAACATCATTTAGCCCCTGTACAAATAATTCGTAACACCTCATCTAGAATATGCAGTTAAGTTTTGGGCAAAGAAGGGCAACCAAACTGATAAGATACATGGAGGAGCTTAGCTATGAGGAACGATTAGCTGAAGTGAATTTATTCTTTTTTGAGAAAAGGAGATTAAGCCCCCAGTCACATCAGGTGTGCCTTGGCAGCAATCTGCATACCCTGTGACTTGCAAATCGCATGCCAAGTCGCACCCTATTGTCCGCTATTAGAGCGGTCATATCGGTGCTGTTCCGACTTGGTCGGAGCATCACCGATTTCTAAAGTAGCACCTGCACTACTTTTGTTGTGATTTGAATAGGCATCTGTGTCAGATGTCTTGCAAATCACAATAAAATTGGCAAGTCACCTAATTTTGAAATTGTGCGACGTCACTGTAAGTCGCAAAATTTCAAAGTCGGCTTTGAAGTGACCGGGGTGTAAGGGAGGATATGATCAACATATATAAATACATAAATGGTCCATTTAGAGAACTTAGTGTAGAGTTATTTACCTTAAGGTCATCACAGAAGACAAGGGGCACTTTTGTAACCTGGGTGAAAAGAGATTTAATCTCCAAAGGTGAAAAAGCTTCTTCATGGAAAGAGCTGAGAAAATGTGGAATAGACTCCCTCCAGAGTTGGTTCTGGCTAGCTCAGTAGTTTGTTTTAAAAAAGGCCTGGATTATTTCTTAGATACACAGAATATAACTGGATACTAATATTTATAGGTAAAGTTGATCCAGGGAATATCCAATTGGTTCTTGGGAGATCAGGAAATATTGTTTTCCCCTGCTTGAGCAAATTGGATTATTCTTTATTGGGTTTTGTGCCTTCCTCTGGATCAACTGTGGGTATAGAATAGTGTATTAGGAGGTTTTCTATTTGCTTGTGTGGTGTGTTTTTTTCTGTTGGTTGAACTGGATGGACTTGTGTCTTTTTTCAACCAGATTAATTAGGTAACTATATGCTTCCTTGTATGTACATTATGAGACTAGCTATACCAGAATAGCAAAAATATGCCTTGAAGCATACCTAAGCCCAAAAACAACAATGTAATATATTGCATTGATCCATAAATGTGGTGGCTGTGTTAGGTTTCTGGACTGGAAGTGATGTCATGTTGAACCCAGAAGTGGTTTATTTCATAGCAGTTTATGGTTTTAATAAAAATACTACATTATGGGATTTTTCCTTTTTGTGCACTGAACTGGAGGGAACAAATTTGAGGATTTTTTACCTGTGGGTTCTGTAGAACAACCTTAGGAGGACTCCTTAACATCAAAAAGGGTACACCAAAAGGACTCTGATTGGGCCAATACTATAAGGATACTTTTGAAGAGAAAAAGACGTACCTTGAAGAAAGGATTCCCATAGAATTTGGAGCAAGCTGAGACTGTACTGAAAAATGATGTATGACTCGCTATTTATAAAGGACTGTCAAACTCTGATAAGCCTCCTTTTCACTTGAAGGATAAGGGTGATTAAAGGATTGATATATTTGAAGATTTCTGGCATAAGAGAACACATAACTTATACTGTGGTGATTTAGGGGACATTCTCTTTTGCATTCGAATTAACATTTCATGGGATTTGATTATTATCTTACTTCACTTATTTAGACGCTGCTTATTTCCAGATAAGAGAAGTGGAAAGCTTCTTTTTAGATTTTAGCATTGTTTTTTATGTTTATTTCTTATCACTTCCTGTCCTGACACTCAGTGGTTTCAAGTAGACATTAAAGAGTAGAACCATTAGGATTGAAGACCTCAATGGGTTATTTACCCATGTAATTATTTTAAGTAATTACTTATTTTAATTAGTTACTTAATTACTTTAAGTAAGCGAAAAAGGGGAAAGGGGTGCCTTTTTCAAGTTCGTTTTATTCAGCCTTGCTTATTATTATTATTAATATTATTATTCTTGGCTTGTGCCCCACACTGGTATAAGTAGGAAGATGGAGGGACTTTTTAAAATTCTGATAAAAATAGTGCACTGGGTTTATAAAGTTAGGTTTATTCCAGACTCCACCACCACATTATATAGTACTTGTTCTGCTGTTTATTATCTAACAGTTAAACTGATTGTTACCTGCAGACTGCTCCTTTCCCAGATTCAATTTCACAAATGTCACCTTCAGAGCAGTAGCTGGGTTCCAGGTCACAAATACTTTGGCATTGTTGTCCATCAATACTTTTGTAGCCAGGTGTGCATATGCAAGTTGCCTCTTTGGTGGTCATTGGGTTTATGGAACATTCTGAGAAATCATCGCATGCCATGAACCTGCATGGATCTGTCAGGTCAGCTGCAAAGATCGAATAAACATGTTACAGGAATGTAAAATATAAAATATTGTCATTTTAATGTTTTGATATGCTGACTTTGGCTTGTTTTAAATAGCCTCAACATTGGAGCATCTGCTTACCATTTAGGATGTTCCTTCTCACTATATAATACATTCTTTAATATGCTTCTTCCACTGGATTCAGTGAAGCCCTTTGTGCATATAGATTTGAGGGAGAAAGACATTTCTGAAGCATTTTCTACATAACAGAAAACAAAAATAATAGCTCTGGCTTGCATTTCTCTATGTGCTTTGGTGGTCTGCATGCTGTAACTTAGATATTCTTAAAGCAGAACTAAACTCTCTCATTCAACATTAACAATTTTTATTCTTTATTGTCAGGGAAGGCTTGCCCATAGTGCACATAATGTTCCTAGGCGCCTACGTGTGTGCAGGCGCAGGTCAACAAGTATCCATGCAGATGTGCGTCTGATCTACAGCATTTTCTGTTTAACCTATTGCCAGTTCTTGTGCTTGACTTCTGTTACTGACCTGGCTTGCTTCTGCCCACGCTTGAATGCTACTTGCCCTGAGCTTGACTTGTTTCAAGAATCTGCCTTAGCCTCCTGCCTTGGCCTGACTATTCTTCAGCCTGCCATTTATGCCTGATCTAACTGTCTGTTACTGCCCTGGCATGCCTGACCTTGCATCCTGCCTCACCCTGTCTGCCTAGTGCAGGGGTAGGCAACCTGCGGCTCTCCAGCTGTTGCAGGACTACAAGTTCCATCATGCCTCTGCAAGTCATAGCTGTAACGGTCAGTTTTGTAATGTTGCAATGCCTCATGGGAAATGTAGTTCCACAACAGCTAGAGAGCCGCAGGTTGCCCACCCCAGGCCTAGTGCTTCCTGACCAGTATGCTACTGGCCTGGTTCCCTTCAACCTACTCAGCATTAGCAACCTGTCATCAGCCAGCCAAGCATCTGGCAGTCTGCTGCCTGCCAGTCCTGCATCTGCTGTTTCCACCCATTGTCAACTGTCTCTGTCTTCTGGCTCATCCCTGATGAAGCACCAGTGGTCTCTAGACTCGTTCAATAAGCTCTGAGGAAAATTCCCTTGCAAATTTAACCACTTCAATACCGGCCACTTATACCCCCTTCCTGCCCAGGCCAATTTTCAGCTTTCAACGCTGGCGCACTTTGAATGACAATTGCGCTGTCGTGCAACACTGTACCCATATTACATTTTTTAAAATTTTTTTTCACACAAATAGAGCTTTCTTTTGGTGGTATTTAATCACCGCTACTTTTTTTATTTTTTGCTAAATAAAACAAAAAACACCTGAAACTTTTGAAAAAAAAAAACACACTTTTCTTCATTTCTGTTATAAAATTTAGCAAAAAAATAACATTTCTTCATAAATTTAGGTCAAAATTCTTTGTTGCAAACAATAATAAAATTTAATTAATTTTTTTTCAAATGTTTCTATTATTTTTTTTTTATTTTTTATTACATTTTTTCTTTGTTTTACTATTTTATTTTTCAGCACACTATGACCAAAGCAATACAATGTTAACATAGTAACATTGAACTACTCTGGGCAAGTGATCAGGATTTTTTTTAACACATTATAATTGCTAATATCAATGTATTTCATTGATATTTGCAATCATTGTTGCTGAATGAAACTGATTCATTCAGTCTTTTGTTGTGATTAGCAGTGATTGGGCAAAGTTGATCATGTGATACAGATGGGCTGTGATTAGTCCTGTCTGTATCATGTGACTGCCTTGACCAGTCACAGCTCACAACATAATTGTATACAATGGATGGCATGACAGGAAGCAATCCATTGTATACAATTGACATGTAATCTGGGGTTGGTCACAGCGGTCACATGACACTGGCAATGGGCCTGTGTAGTGATATGTCATCGGCTGTGTCCCATGGACACATAGCCAGTGACAGATCTCGCCGCTGCTCGGCCCCGTGGCCGCATGAGTGTTTTGTTTTAACAGGACATCATATGACGCCCAGTCACAACGGCGAGTGTCCCACCCGGCCATCAATCTGCTATAGGTCGGGCAGGAAGGTGTTAAAAGCCTATTTGTCTCTAGTAACTCAACCCATGTAAGTGAGCAGTTCTGTCTCTATTATATTCACATGGTCAGTCCAAATATACATCTCCGGTATGCCTTAAGATGTGCATCTTGCAAGCAAAAATTAAACCTCCACTGAAAACAATGCTATATTCCATGCTTCTGGGGGTCTCTCATTTCGCTTCAAGCTCTGTACCAACTTCAGAAAGAAGCTTGCATTAAATATAGGAGCAGGGGGTAATGATTCCTGGAAATCCAATCAACAAATTAAATACTGTTGCTGTTATTGTAAAGAGGAGAAATCGGAACTAATTTCCTGTATAAAATTATTCTGGGTTTTGTGTTGAAATATAAAAATAATTTTCAGTACAATTAATTCTAAACTCCAGGCAAATACCTACAGTGAAGGAAATAAGTATTTGATCCCCTGCTGATTTTGAATGTTTGCCCACTCACAAAGAAATGATCAGTCTAAAAATCGAATGGTAGGTGTATTGTAACACTGAGAGACAGAATAGCAACAAAAAAAATCATAAGAAATGCATGTCTAACAAATTCTGCAATTTTCTCTTTTTTAAAGTGATCTTGCCTTCTTTTAAAGCTCAGGCTTTAAAATAAGAGACCCTGTGGTGACATATTTACTTCTAACAGCAGCAGAGAAACTCAGGTTTTCTCTCCTGGAAGAATGGCTGAGCTGTGTGGAGGAGCTTTGTAAATCTCAAGGCTGGATGGACAGAAATACAGATCATTTGGCATGTAAATTAGCTCCCTTATGTGTACTTCATTTATGAAAACATATAAGGGAGGAAGCCCAGCCTAGGATTATTTAACAAGCAACTTTAAGTAACACTTACGTTTTATCCCTCCCCCAGCCTGTTACTGGACAGTAAAAGGATAAGGATTGTTCCATGTTAGCACCAGAGATGTACACAACAAAATCATTTCTTTTGTTTAGTTTGGATTCATTTGTTAAGGCAATCATTTTGTTTCATCATATTCGTTTTGGTAGAATGATTAATTTTTGGAATTCACTTTGCATATTCAGATTTGTTTGGAAGTTATTTTGGAAGATCGAGATTCATTTGTTATCTTGTTATTTCAATGACTTAATAATGCAGAGTATGAAACATATTATTGAAAACCCTCTGAAGTCGCAAACAAATACATACCAATGAATTTATTGTTTTCATTTTAATTCATTTTAGATTAGTTGAAAATCATTATTCTTGTGATCCAGAGATTTGGATACATCCGACTCTCTGAATAATGAAAATTTTGTCCGAATTTGGAATCGTAATGAAACGAATGGCACATGTCTAGTTAGCACATTAGCTCAGCTGAGTGGCACCTTGTAGTATTTTCTCCCTGAGTTCTGAGTCTGAGTTCTACTTTATTGGTAATTGTGAGAGATTGATACAGACTCAGGTACTTACACTGCTTGCATTTAAAAAAATACATTTAAAGTGTTACTAAACCCACAACATTAAAATCAGTCTGTATATGCAGTAAAGCATATATGGAATGATTTTAGTGCTATTCACTGTGGAACCTAAGGGGTTAATCATCTGCATTATGTTAAAATGCTGTTTGATCCTGACTTCTCTGATCCTCCCCTTCTTTCAGTGTCCCCCTCTTATCTCCTGATAAGACATATTGTGTGGATACACTCTGCACATGCTCAGTTTGGTGTGTATTGCTAGAGAGGTTTTTTTTTTTCTCTTGGGAGAGTTCATGTGATCAACAGAGGGCCAATCAGCACTGTCCAGACAGAGGTCAAGGGTTCTGCATCCTCCTAGAGCAGAAAGAAAACTCATCCTACAAGCTTTAACCAGTGCTCTGCTGGACACTGATAGAAGTCACAAGACTCTAACTGCTGATGAGAAAAGGTATTTACTAAAATAATTGCATTTCCATGTTCTGTGTACTGTGGGGGAGCAGATAGAGATAATGCAGGGCTATTACACTTTAAGTAATGATGTATATGAATACAGGGCAGAAGTGTTTTGTGGCTTTACTTCTTTTTAGAGTTGAGAACGAAAGTATTAATAAGTATGTTCAATTTCAGCCAGAAGGTGCAAAATCTATTCCTACTGCTGTTTCTTATGGGTAACTCTGCTTGGAACCCCCGCAGATAAGCTTTTTTTAAAGTATTTTTCTGGACCTTTCTAAAGCTCCTCCAGCTAGAAGAAGTGTTCTGTTTTCTTGGGGGTTTCTTTGCTATGCAAGTTTGGAAACCAAATGCTTTTCTGTTCAGCTAGGATGCAAAGGGGCATATCGGCTTTGGAATTTTATTGAAAAACACTGGGTTTCTAAAAAACAAATTACTTTTTTCTACCGAAGAATGAGAAAAGGTTCTGAAAGCAGAATGCCTTCTTCAATTAGAAGAATGGCTTGTGCAGCAGTTATTTACTATCTGTTGTAATGAAACTGTCATTTTCCTGTAAACCCACTTTAGAAGCATTTTATTACATTTTGTAAAGCATTTAGTGCTTTCACAAACCACTGCTGACAAATAATTTCTAACAATATTTACAGATATATATATATATATATATAGTAGCCGTTTTTTTCTATTCTTTTTCATTCACCTTTTCCAGCAATAAATGTCTTTTCTATTGAGCTGTTTTTTCTCATAGCATGTCCAAAAGAAGACAGCTTCAGCCTAGTTGTCTGGACATCTAGTAAAAGGTTGGGCTTGATCTTCTGAAATGTTAATTTGTTTATTTTTTCTTGCTCTCCATTATATTCTTAGAACTCTTTGCCAACACCGAGATTCTAACGCATCAATACATTTCCCGTCTTGTCTAGCCATCACATTCATCCACAGTGACAGGAAATACCATAGTCTAGACAATTCTTATCTTTGTACTTTCTATTATGCAGAATATTTATTTCAAAGAAACTGCTAGTGCCTATTAGTAAAA